AGAGGCTGAATTACTCCTTTTTGCATTCAGAACACATCCATGAGGGAAGTACTTTTCCTTCAAGATCTTAGTCATCAATGAGTTTGGCTTAGTCAACAGCCTCCAGATCTGTTTAAGAATTAAAGAATCATTGAAAGCTCTGAAGTCTTTGAACCCCAGACCCCCTGCACTCTTAGGAATAGACATCTTGTTCCAAGACACCCAATTTATCCCTTTTCTATGATCTGCTCCATTGGACCACCAAAAATTAGCACTGAGATGTGAAATTTCCTTGCATACACCTACAGAAAGACAAAAACAAGACATCACAAATATAGGAAGGGCACTAATCACAGCCTTGATAAGAATCTCCTTTCCAGCAGATGAGAGAAACTCGTTCTTCCAACTAATAAGCTTCTTCTTCACATCAGATAAAATAAATTCAAATACCTCCTTTTTGGATTTCCCTATGCCCAAAGGCAGCCCAAGGTATCTAGAAAAAGCACATACCTCAATCCCCTGTAAATTCTGGCACAGAATAGCTTTCAACTGAACAGTAGCATTTTTACTTAAGATGACTGAGGATTTAGAAAGATTTACTTGTTGTCCATCCTTTCCTGGTGCTTATTAGGATTCATAGAGAAAAGAGCAACTTGAATTTCAGCCTCATCAACAGGGGCCACCAGACTTGAGTTTGCATCCTCAGATATAACAGGGGAAATAAGAGGTAATATTGAAGCTTCACCCCATGACCCTTCAGAGGTAAAAAGAGACTGATAGAAATTTATAATGCATTCCTCAATCTGAGCTTGAGTATCAACTGATCTGTTCTGAGAGTCCACCAGTCTAGTAATTGCATTCTTCTTTCTACTGTGCATTGTAATGGCATGAAAGAACTGAGTATTCTTGTCTCCCTCTTTTTCAACCATTGTATTCTAGCTTTCTGCCTCCAAAACTCCTCCTCTGACATATGAGACTTGTCCATCTCCATCTTGATGTTCTCCCATTATTGTCAATTCCTCTGGCCTCCCAGTGCTCTCATCTCTTCAAGTGTTAGAGTTAGCTGAGCAATCTTCTTCAGATTATCTGATTTGTTCATTTTGTTCAATGTAATCAAAGCCATTATAGTCTTTTTTATCTTCTCCTTGAACTGGAACATAAGAGAACCATCCACTATGCCATTCCAAGCTTTCTCCACTTCTTCCTTGCAGCCATCTTGTTTCAACCATCTCTTGTCAAAACAAAACCTCATATGAAAATGAGGCTTAGAAGAGACAGTATCCATAATCAACATAGAATGATTAGAAGAACTCTTGAAACTAGAGCTTACTTTAGCCTCCTGATGAGCAGATAGCCAAGCAAATGAGCCAAACACCCTATCCAACTTCTCCTCAACAAAGTCTGAATCTCTCCTATTATTGCACCAAGTATAAGGATAACCCTCCATCCTTACCTCCAACATTCCCATTCTAGCAAAAAATGAGTTAAAGCCTTCAAAGCTCCTATGTGACCTGATTCTGCCCCCTCTCTTATCATCATTTCCACAAACTTCATTCTAGTCTCCACCCATACACCATCTATCCCCCCACAAAGGCATACTCCTCTCCAGCTCCTGCGATTGCATCTCTCTATCCTGCCTTTCAGTACTTGCATAAACCAAAATCAACCATTCCATGGAATTAGTTAAAGAACATTTGAATTCCACCTGAATGCAAAAATTCAGAGAAACAACCTACAAAACCTCCACATCATTGCTCCACATCAATAAGAGCCCTCCACTCAAACCTACTGGTTCCACTGTAAATTTCCTATCTGCAAATCCCAACTTCTTACACACAGTATCAATGAAAAATTTATTTTTCCTTGTTTCTGACCAAAAAATAAAGCATGGGAGGTGGATCCTAATGGCATCCTTGAGCTGGGAAACTGTAAAGGGTCCTCCTAGACCTCTACAGTTCCACAAGATTGTCTTCATTTATCACCTTGAGGCCATTCAAGGCTGGCTACCCCTACCTGTTGAGAATGATCAGAAGTTAACTTCCTTGACTTCCTTTGCACCAAATCAGACTGCTCCTCCTCCTCTTAAACAATTGTCTGAATTTTCCTTGGTCTGCCCCTTTTGCCTTTGACCATGCCCTTATCCTATGCTTGAATCTTCAATGATCTTTGCAGTCTGCCAGAAGTTTGTTGCTTCCTCTTCCAGGTTGAAATGCTGGATTTCATGACTTTGTCAACTATTATGGGACTGGTAGAAACACCAACCTGGATATCCCCTGTCTGTATCTTTCCCTTATCCAAACTCTAGCCTTTAGCACTATTTCTGTCTTCTACCTTTGATGATTGAATCCACAAACTCAAGTTCTGATCCTCTCTTTGAATCACATGATATTGATTTGCTATATTACCATCAGGATTAACCACTAAGGCAGCTGAAATCTTGTCTCTTAGTGGACTAGCTGAATTTGGTCCTTCTCTGAGGCCACCTCTCTCATTACCAATCCCCGCTTCCTCCATATTATCTGAATTAGAGGGACCTCCTTGATTCTGCAGATTGCTATTGGAATGAGAAGGGTTTGAGGTATTAGAATTACGAGAAGAACCCCCCATCCTCCCAATCTCAGTAGCCTTCAACCACTCCCCAAATTGCCCTTCCTTCTGCTTCCCTTCCTCAACATCCTTAGCTCTAACAATGCAAGCTCTCTCCAAATGACCCACCATCCCACAGTAATAGTAACAACTTACCAATTTCTCATAGTGAGAGGTAACTCCTAGACGTTGATCCCCCAGTTTAGTATGGGCACATCTAAGAATAGGCTCTGAAACATCATGAGAAACTAGAACCTCAGGCAACTGCCTTAAACACCTCTTGATTTAACCACCACAACGTTCTTAATTTTTTTAAATAGCCTTCCAATTTTCCTGCCCACCTCCGTACTCAGCCAATTCAAGGGAAGTTTATGGACTTGGACCCATATAGCGATCTCATTGAACCCAGAATCATCTACCGTTAGTCCTTCTCTCCAATCTTGCAGAACCAGATATTGGTTCTCAAAGACCCAGTTAACCCCTGCCAACACCTTCTCCTTATCCTCCTTACAACCAAAAATAAATTGAAAGAAATTTGCACCCACCTCTTTAACCTCAAACGCCATAGATGTCTGCCACACCATCCCCATAAGGCGCTTAATCCCGAAAATATTTGCCTTTCGATCCCCAATAATTCTGCCCAGCACGCTTTTACGGCACTCTTCATCACTCAATCGGACATCTTCCCTTTCTAATTCCACATCTTTACTCTCCTTGAAGGAAAGCTGTAAAGATTTGAACTAGTCCCCCAAATCGTCGGCCATGGCCGAGCCCTAGCTCCAACCCCAAACTCCCACGAACCACTGACCCAGAGAAAAGGCACTCCACTAAGACCTCTTCAGCAAGAGAATCTGGTCTCCAAACGAGAGAATGTAACCTCCAGTGAGAGAATTTCGCTCTCTGACGAGAGAATTTCGCTCTCTGACGAGAGAATTTCGCTCACCGACCGATTTTAAATCCATATTAAAATTATTTGTTAAATAATATTTTTTATTTTCTTATATTAATTTAATATTTATATTTACTTAATTTATTATTTCATAATAAGTTGCTTTATTTATTATTTATTTTACTTTATCAGTTTTATACTTTATTTGTTTTTTAATTATTATTTTTATGTTAGTTTATTTAGTTTATTTTTAATTTTATTTATTTTTAATTCAATATTTGTAATATATTTTCATTTAGAATTTATGGAATAATTTGTTTTAATAATTAAAATGTAATTTCTTTATTTTAATTTCTCGCTACTATATCAAATTTTATCTACTTTATTTTAATTTAATTTTTTTATTATTTTAAGTTAATTTAATTTTTCAGAAGTTATTATTAGTATTAATTATTTAATTTATAATAAATTGCCTATTATACTGTTATTTTATTTCCTTTATTTTAAAATATTTAATTCATTTACGTATAAATATCTTTATGTTCAATGAAGTTCAGATCCATCCATATAGCCCAGTGGTAGAGTGGGTGTGCCTTTTCCACCCACCCCAGGATCGAATCCTGCTTCTTACATTTATACAATTATGTAAAATAAAAAAAATTGAATAATTCTCGCAGTTGGAGAAGATGTCTTCCACGTGCCGTTATGTTGGACGGAATGGTGGAAGCGTGCAACACGTACTTAAACATAAGAGGATCTGATGCATTTTTTAGAACACGGGGAGTTTGGTACAATTTGCCCGTATTTGCTAGCTTGTCTCGTATTAACGTATGTCGAGTTCCCGAAACATGCCTATGCCGAGCTACATGAGTGTCGAGCTACATGAGTGCCGAGCTACCTATATTAGCATAGGACCCTCGCTCTACGGAAGTCGAGCTATATAAACGCCGAGCTACCCATACTAACATATGGCCCCAACTTCATATGCGCCTAGCTGTATCTTACACTCGACTAATCCGAGCTATCTGAACACTCACTTTTTTTATCTAACCGGCCTAGCTGATCTTCCTTTATAGATCGAGCTAACCCCGACCGGTTTCACCGAGCTATTCTATAAAACTTACTCCGCCTTCAGTTCGAAGTAAAAATACTATTTCCTCAAAAAAAAAAAAAAATATTGGAAAATTTAGCGTGTAACATTGGAGAACAAAATTCTCTACTTCAGCATTAAATGGATGAAGTAGCGAGTAGCGTGACGCTGGAGACGCTCTTACAGTGGTTACTTCAGCATTAAATGGATGAAGTAGCGAGTAGCGTGACGCTGGAGACGCTCTTACAGTGGTCATGCTCAAGGCACCCGCAATTCGGTTAAAGAAGCGTAGAAGGTAGCTTCTCATGTGGTGGGTTTATATTATCCACTCACTTCGTCCTGTTGCCATCCATTAGGTTGGGTTAAACGACCCTTTTATTGTTGACATTTCCTTTCATTGTTACTTGCAGAAAACTCTGAGAACTCTTCTCCCCTGCGTCTTGGCGTTTCCAACACATGGAGGAGCTCATTAGCTGCTGCTGCTATCTTCTTCTGCTAGCTCTGCCTTTACTCTCTCTCTTCATCCTCCTCAAAAAAAGCTCTTCGCGAAAAAGCCCGAACCCGCCTCCAAGCCCTCGCGCTCTCCCCATAATCGGCCATCTCCACCTCATCAAGGACCCCCTCCACCTCTCTCTAGCTTCTCTCTCGTCCCGGCACGGCCCAATTTTCTCCCTCCGCCTCGGCTGCAGATCGTTCGTCGTCGTCTCCTCTCCATCCGCCGTCGAGGAGTGCTTCACCAAAAACGACGTCGTCCTCTCCAACCGCCCCAGGACCATGGCCGGAGACCGGGTGACGTACAACTACACCGCCTACGTGTGGGCGCCGTACGGCCATTACTGGAGGACCATCCGCAAAGTGAGCGTCATCGAGCTCTTCTCCACGCGCAGCCTCCAGAATTCCGCCCAGATCCGTCAAGAGGAAG